GGTGCGGAGGTCGGCTCCCTCCCAGGAGCTGCTCGGGGCTCCTGCTGCTCAAGGAAGGTGCCCTGTTGGGTTTGAGGCCGCCTGGGGGTGCTCGTAGAGAGAAGCCCCGAATCATCGGGGACCCTTTAGGAAATGAGGGGAGAGACACGTGTGGGAACACATGAGGGTTCCGATTTGGCCACCGAGCCGTCCTGACAACATACCGTCCACGGCCGGGGCTGTGACCCGGGGCAGAGCTGCCGGACACGCACTGCGTGGGAGGCACCCTGGCTGGGGGAGGGGGGGGTGGGGAAGCCCCAGCCACGGCCAGCTGTGTTCACAGAGTCCACAGTCTTGGAAGACAGGCAGGTCGTCAGCCCAAGCGGCAGGAACGTCGGGGACCGTGCGGCCAGTACCCTCCCAGGCTCCCCAAAGGGCCCGTCCCCTGGTTATTCCGTCAAACGCAGATCTAGGTTCTGCTGGGAAGGGATTTTAGGGATGTGATTCAAGTTCCAAGTCAGCTGACCTTACAAAGATGAGATTACCCAGCTAGGTCTGACCCAGTCAGATAAGCCTTCCACCAGGAAAGAATTCCAAACGGGAGGGAAAGGCAGAGAGAGTCGGAGCACAGCACTGGCCCCAGGAAAATCCTCTCTGAACTTACTTACTCCCTTGTCCCTCCTCTTCCATCAAAGGCCAGAGATTGGTGGGTCAGTCCGGACGGCGGGGTGGCGAGGCCCGGGAACGGACACTGAACTGCGTTAAAAGGGGGGTTTGGTGGCACCGGTGATTTCAACACCGCGAGGGTCCCCTTGCACCGGTTGGTTTTCCGTTTTCTTAGAGTCCCTTTCATCGTCTTAGATCCGCTTCTCCGGGAAGCTGGAGTCACTGCTGCGGGAAAAGCCGCGCTCAGGCTCCTAAGGAAAAGAGAGGGGAGGGTGGGACGGTCACGTTTTTGCCTGTGGAGGCCTCTGACTGGCCTGTCTGGGTCACATCCTAATCGTGGGACCCGTCGTTGTGGACAGAAGCAGCATGAAGTACTGTGATTGGCCCAGCTTGTGTCAGGTGCCCCGCCCTCAACCCATCACTGTGGACAGAGGGTAGATGAGGTACTGTGATTGGCTCAGCTTGTGTCAGGTGCCCAGCCCTCCACTGGTCACTATGGCCTGGGAGGCGGGGCCTTGTAGGAAGGTGGCGGCCCATTTTTGACTTTCCTCCTAAAGGACTAGCACACAGCGTTGTGGCGGGGAGGTTCTGGGAGGATGGAGTAACAGACGCCCCGGTGGAGCTCTGCTGCCCATCCAGAGCCCCCTCTTCTGCTTTGGGAAGGAAATAGTCAGGCTACACCTTGAGAACCGGTGCGTTTGAGCCTTCGCCGTGTCTAAACGCCTGCCAGCAGTAATGAAAGGCGGAGACCACGCTGCCGCCCCCAGCGCAGAAGGCCCACTCTGTCCCCGGCTCTGCGGGCGCGGCTCCGCGCGGACTCCTCCGCCGTGGGCGGGCCTCCTGGACGGCTGCATTCCTGGGCCCCGGGGGGCGCCCTTGTGTGCACAGCTGCTCCAAGGCGGGGGTCGGCCTTGTGGCATGAGAACACTTTGTCACGGGAACAGCAACCCAAGCTCCCTCCCGCCTCGGGCCCGTGGGTCGTGGGCCGCACATTTTTGGAAGAACATCAGATACTGTGCATCTCGGGGGCCATCGCTGTGCTTTTGCTGCTGATCATTTTCCCTTGTTTTCCTCCTTTGCTATCTTGGTTTTCCCCCTTTTTTAAACCAAGATAAGATGTTTCCTGTTTTCTTAAGGATTCCTTTGATGAAATAATCCTAATTTCTATTTGTATTTCTGTGGTAGCCTGGGGAGCTTTTTAATGAGCACAAAGCCTCCTTTTGTGATTTTATCCAAGACAAACTTCGGGTTCCCCTTTTTAAAAGAAAGTCACTACTGATTAAAATAACACTTGGACACCAGCTTCCGGAGAACAGTGCTGGGCGGACCCTGCGTCAGGAAAGATGCGCTGTCCCCGCTGGGCTCTTCCTCGTCTTTCTTCCAAAGTACGAGTTGGCGCAGGCTTTCTGTGGGGAGCCAGAGGGGAAACGTGTTTGGCTCTGGGGGCCACCCCGTCTCTCTCGCATGGACTGAGCGCTGCCGCCGTCGCCCGAGAGAGCCATGGACCATAAGCGGACGGATGGCCCGAGCTCTGTTCCCGCGAGCCTGTCAGGAACAGGCAGGGGCGGCCCGCCAGTGTCTGCCAGCTCCCGGCACAGTGTTTCACGCTTTTCGACTGTCTTAGGAACAGTGTAGCTAAAAACCCCAAGCCGTGTGGTAACTCGGTCCATTTCGTAGAGTGGGAACTGTGTGTTTGGCCGTGGGGTTGGGAGCAGGCCCCCCAGGAGCTTCGGAGGCGGACAGGGTGTTGGTGCAAATGGCATAAGGATAGTCTCCTCGTTTGATGCAGTAATTCCATTTTGGGGACTCTGTCCTAAGATGATATGGATATTTCTTTTTTACACAGCTACTTACCACGGCATCATCTGCCCTCCGAAAACCTGGGAACAGCTAACTGCCCAACAAAATAATACCATGTCCACTAAAATAACAGCGCGGAGGCCGCGCGTCGGCAAGGAGCCGGGGTGCGGGAGAGGAGGGCTGGCTGGGAAGGGCCCCGGGCCCAGGGCGGCGGCGCCGCTGAGCCCGCCATGTGGGGCGTGGGAGAAGGAGCTTCCCCAGAAGTGCTGTGGGTCCAGATGGCGTGCTAACTCGGAGCCCAGGACTCCTGAAAGGAGCCGAGGGCGTAGGAGTGTGTGGATTCCAGCGCGGACATTGCGGACGGCTCTGTAGGAGGGACGGGAGTAGGGGCTACGTGGGCAGAGCAGAGGTGACTGGGCGGCGGCCGTTCTGGCCCTGGCCAAGCACGGGGTGGGATTCGAGGCGGGGCCAGGCCCATGACAGGGCCGGGGAAGAATGGAGCCTCTGGACCCAGCGGACGAGGTGCCGTGGGGAGGCTCCGAGGGAGTCAGCGTTGTCCTCGATTGGGGGAGCCTCTCAGGCCCACTGGGAACCTGCCCTAGGAATCCGGACCCCCGGTTCCGGGACCCAGGGTCCTGTGCTTGCCTCTCTACCTGCAGCCGCACTGCGGGTAAACCCAATGCCCAGGGGGACGGAGTGTGACCTCCGGCGCATCACGCTGGGACGCGCCATAGGGCCCGGGGGACGGCCATGGGCCTTTGCACGTCCCCACTGCCGTTGGGTGTGTCAGAAACCCAGCCCGTGCACAGCCTCGCCGAGCACGCCTGCGCGGCGAGGGTGGACGTGCTCTCACTCCTGAGGAACCTGGGAAGGGGCTTCCGGGGCCCGGGGACACGGGAGGAGCACACAGAGAAGCAGCCCGAGGCGCCTGTTCCCGGGGTCACGGTGGCAGGCGGCGGGCGGAGACGTGCTGTTCCGGCCCGCGGCCCGCGTGCTCTGCTGCGGTTGCGGCTGCACCTCCGGGGCGCACTCTGGAACCTGGCAGACTCTCCCGCTGGTCCGCTTCACAGCTGGACTCCTTCGCCATTTGGTTGAGGATAAAGCAAGTGACAGGTCACACAAAAGCATCCGTGAGAGGGGCCTTCTGTGTGCAAGACAGACCGGTGTCCAACCTGAGGCTGGCGGCAGGCACCCGGGCTCCCGGCAGAGGGAAGGCTGGGCTTCTCCGTGTGGGAGGCCCTGCTGCACACGCCCTGCCTAAAGGTCACGGCGGCGGCTGTGAGCACAGCAGGGTCTCTGGTACTTGGGCGGCCCCGGTTGCCCTGCAGAGCCTGGGCCACGTGAACGTGAATCTGCTACGGGTGCTGAGGCGGCAGCTGGCGGGCGCGGCGAACACCACCCCTGTGCACCCTGCTCCCCCTCCGCCCCCCCGCGTTTGGAGCTGTAGGAGCTGGGGCTTGGGGACGGGTCTTCTTCACGACCCTGTGGCTTTTAAGGGATAGAAAGCCAGTCAACTTACTGCTGCAAAGGGGCGGGTCTTTGGGCGCCTTCTTGCTCTGCTTTATTTTTGTGCGCAGGACCCACCCCCATCGGACAATACACCCCCTCCATTCTTTGGCTTTTGTTGTCTGTTCACCCTCTAGCGTAGAATGGTTTTTGCCTTTTTAGCTGTTTGTGCTTCGATTGGTGCCGAGCATCACTCCGGGCGCTTCATAGATGTTTAAGAGACGATGGCAAGGTGACGCCCGGGGTCACTTGGGACAATAAGTAGGAGTCAGCCGGGCAAAGGGAAGGGTTTCCCCTGGCAGAAGGCACTGCAGGGGAGGAGGCAAGGGCAGCTCCCGGGGAAGGATGGGCCCCGCGGCGGAGGCAGACGAGATGGGGAGGGGGCTGGGTGTGCAGGAAGTGGGGGGACGGGAGGGCCCCTCCGTGCAGACGTCTGGCATTCTGGCCGAGTTCCCCGTGGACGGCGCCGCCTCTGCTGGTGCCCAGGAGGAGGCGTGACATGTCCTGGGAGGTGTGCGGTCAGCTGCCGGTCAGAGGGGCCTGGGGCCGGCGCTGGGGGTGTAGTGCAGGGTCATCGCGCTCAGGAGAGACTCCTCAGAACCCTGGGTGGGTAAGGTCGTGTGGGGGGCGCAGAGGGTGAGGAAGGGGCGGTGGGGCTGGGGGAGGTCCAGCAAGGCCGCCAGAAGAGACGGGGGGAAATGAGCTTGGGTTGAGTGGCAAGGGCGTTGTCGGTGACCTTGGCCGACGCCCGCCAAGATGCCGTTTCCGGGAAGCGGCGGGGAGAAGGCCGGAGTGAAGGCGCTCGAGGCGAGAGGGTGAGTGTCGATTGCCCCTTGAAGAAAACAGACGCTGAGAATTGAGTGGATTTCATCGCCCTGTGCGTTTCCTGCCAAAGAATGTGGGGAATGCCACGGAACGGGCCGCTGGCGTGGCCCTCCTCGCCCTCATCTGCAGAGCGTTTGCAGACCGCTCCCCGGCTCCCCGGCCCCCCGGCCCCCCGGCCCCGGACAAGGCAGAGGCTCATGCGCGTGTCCTGCTCTCTCCCCTAGGCCGGATCTTGGACCTGAAGACGGGGACGGTCAAGAAGGAGGGGCAGCAGTCGTCCATGAGGATGTGCATGGGCTCGCGCAGGTCCTTCATCTGCAGGATGAGGTGCGTCCGGGCGGGCGGGCGCGGGCTGCGGTCTGGCGGGTCCGCGCCCTTCTGACCCACCGGGAGGAGCCTCGAGGGCTCGGCCAGGGCCACGCATGCTCCTCACGTTCACCCCAGTCACCCCGTCGTCTTGACGGCCGCACGTGTGCCTGCAGACTCCTCCGTCCGCCTCGGACGCACGTCCTGCCTGTCTCCCCCGTTGCAGGGTGCCCGTTCCGCACGCCCCTCGCCTGGCGCCCCCTGTCCCCGGAGTCCCAGCTGGGCCCCCTTCCTCGGGGCTCTCTTCACCCGCAGCCTCCCCGGGCTCTGTTCTCAGCACGTTTTGTAGCAAACCCACCTACTTCACATTCACTGTCACGTTTTCTCGTGCCACCTCACGTGTTTTTTTTTATTCATCCTTCATTACATTGCCGATTGATATTTTAACCGTGCCTGTCTGGGCTCCAGAAGAAAATTATAGTTTCCTTAAGGGTAAGAGTTTTGATTCCTCCCTCTTGGAGCCTCCCATGAAGTCTCGCAGCCTGTTCTGCACACACTTGGTTGTAATGTGCAGCCGTTGACGGAATGCAGGAGTGGCTGCGTTTCGGGGGCCCTGGGGGATTGCTCTGACGGCCGAGAAGGGACCCTCCTGCCCAGACCTGACTCGCCTGCACCGTCAGCCCTGTGGCCCCGGGGGAGGCCGGCAGGGGGCGCAGGGTGGAGTCCGTCCCGTCCGGCGCGTGCCGTTCCTGAGGCGCTAGCATGGGGCAGCGCCTCCCCTTCGTTTACACGTTCACTCAGTTCTTGGGCAAATGTGCCAGGGGCCCCGCGAGGTGCTGGGGTTCCGCACTCAGTAGAGCAAACAGAACCCCGGACCTCGGCGGCACGCATCTGACAGAGTGCCAGGTCCACGTGCATGCATGGAACGTCACACGGCGGTCACGTGCTGTGCAGGAAGAGGAAGCACATGGAACAGCGAGCAGGAAGGGGGAGGGTTGCTCATGCACAGTCTGCCTCTCCCACCTCTCGCCGGGCCCTCGGAGGCAGGAGGGGCTGAGCCTGGCGGTCCTCGCCTCGGAGGCGGCTCCTGTCCAGGCCGGGAGGCACGGGAGGGGCCCCCTGGCCGCCTGCCTCAGGTGGCGCTGGGGTGACAGAAGACATGACCGTGCCCCTTGGACGTAGGGCTGGGTCCGCACAGGCTGCCCGCCCTCTGCTCAGCTGACTGGGGCAAGCTGGGCAGCGGGGTTGGCGAGCCTCAGTGTCCGCCAGGGACCAAGCGCCATCCGTTGCTGTCCAGCCTAGCAGGCCCGTCCTCAGCGCTTTGGTCGGTAGACGCCTGTCGTCTAGCTGAGCGGTCAGCCCAGCGCCAGCTCTGTGGTGTCTTCATTGCACTGTCTCGGCAGTTTGCTTAGGAATGAATGTGCTGGAAACATAGGGCAGAGGGCCGTGCCCACGTCCTGGGCAGCAGGTCATGGACGGCCCTGCGGGGCAAACCACGCCGGCGCTGGCCGCTGTGCCCCGTCTCAGAGGGTGATTGACTCACGTGTTTGCTGCGTTGACTGTCAAGACATCAGGGTCCTACCTGTCACATAGGTGGGAAGTGGCAAGGCCGTAGCACGTGGGCGCACCCCGTGGGGGTCAGAGCCGGGAGGCTGAGCCGGTCCCTGGCGACCGAGGCAGAAAGGGCCCTGCCAGGGTGGACATGGGACGCCTCCCGTCCCGTGTCCCCACGCCGACGGCAGGCCTGCAGCTGTCCGGTGCTCCTGGTGCCAGGACACGCCGGGCGGGCGGGCTCCCTCAGCGGCGAACGGCGGCCTGAGGAGAGGCTTCTGCTCATCCCCCGGCCACGTCTGTTTTGCACCGATGTGCCCGCTCAGGCCTGAGGAGACACCGCTGCTGTCGTCAGCCCTCCCCCCGTTTCCTGAAAGCCACCCCGTTAGGCGGCGGCGATCGGCGGGACTGAGCTCGGCCAGGGTCCCCTCGAGTCCTTCTGTGGGTCCCAGCTTCCGGGCTGGGCCCGGGGACCCGTTTGGTGAGCCTTGCACACCGTGTCCCACTTTGCCCACCTGCGGTGACCACCCGGGGTCAGAGACGCACAAGCCGGCCTCTACGCGTAGGAAGGGAACCGGCTCTAGGGCCACCCAGGTGCACAGCCGCTTAAGAAAGGCCCTCCGCCCCGCCCCGCCGCCCTCAGCTCCGTGTTGTATAAACCTGCCTGGGTCTTCACTCATCTACTGTGTTTCTCGACTCCTAGGTGTGGAAATGCCCCGTTGGACCACCTCCCTCTAAACAGAATAACCACCATGAGGAAACGGTTCAGGTCGGTAGCGCATTCCGACGCGTGTCGGCGCTGGGGGTGGGCGGCCGAGCGTCCTAGGCTGAGGAGTAGCTGAACTTGTCGAGGGGCTGAGTGTAGAGGGGACCCGGGGACCTGCTCCTCAGGCTTCTGGGGCTCCGGTGAGAAAGGGAGTCGGGTGGAATTTATTGTGGACTTTCAGACCACGTGGAAGGAGGGGAAGCAGGGAGGCGGGAAGTCAAGATTCGAAACTGCCAGGTGAGCAAGGGAAGGAGCCTCCGGGGTCCTGGCCTCACCCCAGGTCCCGAAAGCCACTTGGCCACTGTTCTCCCTGCAGGAACGGCCTCGGCCCCGTGAAAGAAGGGGAGGCACAGTATGCCGTGGTCCACTGCACAGGCTACATCAAGGCCTGGCCGCCCGCGGGTAAGCAGGGCCTGTGCGCGCCGTCCAGGAGCTGAGTGCCCAGCAAGCCTCTTCTGCAGTCTGTCGCCCACAGCGCCCTGTGGCGTCTGAGTGACATTTGAAACGAGAGCTATATCTAGGTCATTAGAGAAAGGCTCACCCGAACCACAACAGGGTGCCCCTTAGGCTCGCTGAGAGGGTTAGAATCGTCTGCAGGCAGCGTTGGGGGGATGCGGAGCGACCGGAACCCTCACAGGCAGCTGGTGGGGCTGTCATACGGCGCCGCTGATTTGGAAACCAGTCTGAGTTCCTCAAAATGGTACGCGTCAGGGGACCGCACGGCGGACCAGCAGCTTCGCCGCTAGGCGCGGACCGGAGGAAGCTGAAAGTGCACGTCCCCAAAGGGATGCGTACGTGGGCGTTCGAGGCAAAAATTGGCCAAAAATGGAAACAACCCGAACGTGTCCATCAGCTGAGGAAAGGATACATACAAAATGCTCTGCCGATGCAATGAAATGTTACTCAGCGACAAAAAGCAGCGACGTATCGATTCGTGCCGTAATGTGGGTGGGCCTCGAAACCATCAGGCTAAGTGAAAGAAGCCAGACTCAGAAGGCCACGTTGTACGGTTTTATTTATGTGAAACGCCTGGAACAGAGCAACCCATCCAGGCGGAAGGTAGATTTGTGGTTTCCAGGTGCCGGGGGAGGGAGGAATGGGGAGCGACTGTGGATGGGGACCGTGTTTCTTTGCGAGGTGGCGAACGTGCTCTAAAATTTGGCAGCGAGGATAGTTGCACAATGAAAAACCCCTGACTTAGGCACACGAAGGGGCAAGTTTTATGAATGTGAGTTACATCCCCGCAACTCTGTGGAACAAAAGCGTCCGCGCGATGTTAATCGCTGGCGGACGCCTTGTGGCCCGGGAGGTGGTCCTCGGCGGCTCCCCGCTTCCTTCCTTGGCGGCTCCCGTCTTCGGAGGAGCTGTCAGAGCTACTCCCTATATCCTCCCACACGGCTTTCCATTCCGAGCATTTCCTTCGGGTTCTTGGCGCGCCCGTCTCTCCGCTGCACTGCCCGTCCGGCCGCGCTGCAGCTGCTTCTCCCATCAGAGGCCTTGTAGTGATCACCCCGCGTTCCCTGTCTGGCCATTGGAAAATGTGTGTCCTGTCTGAGTCTGACTCTGAGGCTGTGTCTCTTCAGGCGGTGCTTTTTTCCTCGCTTTTTAGCCTCTCCCTTAAATCTTTGTTGAAGTCCCGACGCGGTGTGTCAGGTCACAGGGACGGAGGTAGATGGGCCTTTAGTCTAAGCTCGTATGGCAGCTTTGCTAGGAGTCGGCTGCGTTTCATGTTTGCCATATGGCATCTATCAGTTTGGCATTTTTGTATAGATGCTCATTTTTTAATTTATATATTTTTATTCGTATGTATTTGTTCTACTTACACCACAACACACGCAATTGTCAGAGTGTGGCTTGCCTGGAGGCCCCAGCTCGACCCCGGGACAGGAGCTCACACGGCGGCAGCGCCTCGCCGGGTCCGGAGCCCGGGCCCCAGCTCCGCAGACGCAGGGAGCGCGGAGAGCTCTCCGGAGCTGATGTGCGGCCAGGCCCTCGGCAGACGTGCCCTGGGATTTCCCGGTCTCTGACCGGGACGCTCACGCCCACGTCCAGGGAGCCTGTGAGGTCCTGAGGTGCTTGAGGAACCCGGTTTGCCTCAGAAGGTTGTTTGGTGGGAGGCAAAGAGGAGGCGAGGGGCGCCCCGTCCCCGAGCTCCCGCGGTGGGCAGACGTGACGGGCGTGGGCCGGTCCCTCCCGTCCACGGGGACGTGCCGGCGGGGCACCAGCACTTGCATGGGGGATACGGGAGGGTGTGGCGCCTTCAGCGCTGGGGACAGAGGGAAGGGCCCTGCCTGCCCCCGGGTCTCAGGAGGCCCATGACCATGCTGGATGGGCACTGCCCCTGGGGACCCCGGCCGAAGCGGGCCCTCTCCTTGACGTGTCCCTCGTTGGACTGTGTCAGTCACTGTCATCGCGCCAGGCAAGTTCCTCTTCCTGTTTCTGGCCTTGCCATGCTCTTTCTCACCCCTTCTTTTGGGCCCTTATAACCCACGAGCCACGCCACGACCCCATGACACTAGCTCCTGGCGTCCCGGGGGTGAGCGGGGGAGGAGGCCGGGCCGCTGTGCGCGCAGGGGCGGCGTCCGGAGAGCCCGCCGAGACGGCCCCGGGCAGGCGCCCGGGAGGCAGGGGCACGGAGCTCGGCGCCGTGAGCGCTGGACGTGCAGGCCGTGGGCCGAGGGACGCATGATGCCTGAAGCCTTCGACAGCCGCCCTGGAAACTTGGCCCCAGGAGACATGGTGGGAGGAGCCGGGGTGTTTTTCTTGGAGAAAGCACGACATGATTTCTGCCTTTAAATATTTGAGGGGGTGTCACACGCAGGAGGCATTCATCTCTTATTTAGGTTAATTGCAGAGAAGGCACCATTCGGACAAAATGAGGAAAGTGACCGAAAGGAAAATTTCACTCTTGGGAACATGAGCGAGGACGTGAAAAGGGTCTTAAAAAATACACACGCGCGCACACGTTAAGCATTTGGCAAATAAATAAATAAATAAAAATAAAAACTTCGGTCTCTTGTTAATCATAACTGCAAATACTAATCATTTGATACCGTCTCCTCTTACCTACCAACTCACAAAAAGTAAGAGAGACGGAGCCCACCGTGCTGGTGAGGTTCAGAGGGGTGCGTCCGTGGTGTGCCTGCTGGGGGTGTAAGTCAGCACCTGCCTTCTGCGGGGCACTTTCATTGTACGTGCTCAGTGGCTTACGATGCGCATCCCTGCAACACACAGGAACTCCGCTCCTGGGAGTTGATTCTGAGGAAAGTTTTGAACTAATTAATCTAAACCTCAGTGGCAGAGAATTGGTTACGAATAGCCTGGAACGCTTATTTCACAGAAAACCGGACAAGCATGAAACAGGCATGTGCTTCAGAGGACGCGTTAGGAAGGAGGCGAAGTGCGAATAGTTGAAAACAGGGGCGGGTTATACAACATCAGCACCGCAATGACAAATGCATTGGAAAATGACAAACCACGGGTCTGTCCACACGTCGAAACATTGTACCAATGTATAGAATACTCATGATTGTTACTTCTGTGTAGTAGATGAGTGGTTCCTTTTTTTCTTGTCGATTCCTGCATTTTCCAAAGTCTTCCATGACTTTCATAATCAGAGACAGTGACATTTGTATGAAGTCCATCTTAGGAGCCTTTCCGACGGTCGGTTTGCACGGAAATCAGACGCGTATGTTTGTGGGGCGGGGTTGTTTGTACGTCTCTGGGTTTTGTTTTGCTGTGTGTAGTGACTGCATTTCCGTAAAGGCCGAGGCTGTGGAAACAAGCCTGTGCCCACACCGGGCGCTCCTGGCGGTCCTGCAGGCCACAGTCCCTGTCCTGTGGCTGTTTGTTCTTGGTTCCTTGATTGGCACGTACGTTCTCAGCACACGGAACACTCTGTGCTTATCATTTAGACCCTCACACCTCATGCATTTGCTCAGCCCCGTGCTCAGCTCAACCTGGCCCATAGTAGGTGTTTCGCGAAGGCTGGAGGGATGAAAGAAAGACGTTTGTCCAGACAAACGAAGCAGTTGACCTGGAGGGGGTGGACTGGTGAAGGAATGTCTTCCTAGAATTTCCAAAGCCATTAATAGAATCCACTTTCCCGGAAATCATTTAGGATGGTAGAGACAGTCATCTGGCCCCGCGGAGGGGCTGAAGTGAGGTCATTGGCACTCTTACCCCAGCATAAGGTCACGGAACTGGAGCATCAGGGCGGCACCTCGCTTAATGCTTCCACGATGGCTTGTAAACGTCCGCGAGGAATGCTCTCCCTGCTTTCTCATGAGCTCAGGCTGCTTGCTCAACGATAAACAATGACTTGCTTAGGAAGCATGAAGTTTCCTAAACACCGAAGTTGCTAAAAATATCTGCAGGCGACCCTGGATGTCTCCGAAGGTGAGGAGAGGCAGGCTTTACGGAGCACATGCGGGCCTCATGAAACACTTCTCTGACGGCCGGGCCCTCGGAGTTCTGGGCCACCTTGCCGACCCCCCCGAGAGCCACGCACCACAGAGAATCCGACCTGTTCCGGGGGCCCTTCCTGCTGCACTGTGGCCTTTCCAGCTGGCCCTGCCGCGTTTCCTAGGCCCCTTACATAGATTTCAATCCAAGCTTGTGGGGGTATGAGTAGGACAAGAGTTCCAAAGATAGTTCATTCCCTTGTCTGATCCATAACGCATTTAGTCTGTGCAGCAAGCACGCTACGCTCAGCATCCTAGAGGAGAAGTCACCGAAGATGGCTGTGCGTTCTGTTTTGGGAGGCGTGCTCGGTCACCAGGAGACTTTGAAGCTCTGGAGGTGTTCATGGCCTCCCCCCGTAGTCCTCACCTAGCACCTTGTGTACTTCACAGACGGACACTCATTTCTGAGCCAGAAGCCGTTTCTGTGACAGTAACTGTCATCTGGCCTGCTCGGTGCCTCTCCTAACAGTCCCCGGAAATCTCTGGTTAGCGGGCAGTGGGCCCGCCCAGGAGAGCCAGCATCTGACCCCGGGGGAGAGCGCGGAACCAAGACCACGTTCTCTCCCACCGGGTCCCCTGGGTCAGGAAGGGACTCGGTTGTTGGCGCCCTGTGTGCTTTCTCATCGAGAAGGCGGATGCTTTTGTTCCCTTTGCTGCTGGACTTTCAGGAAGCCTTGGCCGCAGCATGCCAGAGGCCTGAGGTTATTGTGGGGTTTGGGCTGGGATCCGCAGAGCCTGGGCCAGCGCTCCCAGCTCAGCAGGCACATCAGCCCTGCCATGAGCTCATCTAGAGCAGCTCTGCTCTTCCTGGAGTTTGCTGTTGGACAAACTGTGCCTGTTTCTCCTTCGTTCGAAAACCTCCAGAAGCTACTTGTCTCTGCCGCAGCCGGAGCCCCGCTGTCTCCCACCCTCAGCCCACGTGGCATGTGCGCTGCAGGACCCGTCGCCTGCTCGGGCCCTCACCGCGACGGCCTGGGGAGACTCCGGAGCCGTGGACTTCGCTCGTGAGGTGGAGGATGGCGGCTGGCAGTTTCAGGCCTCCTTGCTCTCGGGCGGGGCAAAGCCATTCTGACGCTTCCTTCAGCCACCACTTCTGAACGCCTGTCACGTTTGCTAGGCCCTGGCGGTCCTCGGGCAGGTCTGGCACGGGTCCTGCCTGTAAGGAGCCCGCCGTCCCCTGGAAGAGCCCGGCAGGTGTGCAGGTCATTGCCCAGCCCCGGATCGGGGGTCGTAACAGAGGCGCGCACGGACCGCAGGGCACGGGGGCAGGGGGTAGGGGGAGCGTCCATCCGCCGGCGTGTCGGGTCGGCCTCCGTCCCTGCGCTCCAGCCGGCCCTCACCCAGAGCCCGGCCGGCCAGGGCTCGGCCCTTTTCCACATGCCTGTGACTTCCTCCCACGTGGCCTAGAGGGCGCCGCGGGGTTGCCCCTCGTCGAGGGTTGCGGACGGTGCCATCACTGGTCGCGTGGGCTCTCCGGAGACCCGTCAGGCCGTGCCGGGGGCCGAAGAGGAACGTCCGGCCTCGCGGTTCCCTGAGCGAGGTGGCGTCCCCTGGTCTGTGCACGGGGGCCGCAGGCAGCCTGGCAGGACACGCGGGCGTTTTGCCGCAGACCCTCCTGGGCGGCCTGTGCCCCGGGAGCGCGTGCCCTCATGGTTTGCCCCCACGCGGTGCTCATCGCGAGCCGCAGCCGCGCGGAGCTCCTCGGCGGGCTCTGCCGGGGGCCTTTCCCTCGGACGCAGGGAAGCGTGGCTTGGCGGCGGCCCCTCACCCCGCGTCGCCCGACCTGCGCCGGGGCCGTCCCTCGCCGTGGCTGGCCTGCTGTCGGGGGGCCCACCGTCATCTGCACACCGACCTGGACTTCTCTCGTCTCAGGCCGTCATTGCTGCCGCGCCCTGTGGGGACAGGTGCTTACTCAGGGGGTCTCCGTGGGCCCTTTTCAGCCAAAGCTCCTTTCGGGGGACTTGGCCGTCTTGATTTCCCTGCTCCCAGGTCACAAGTGTCGTTCTCTGCAGAGGCCCCTGGTGATGAAATCTCTTCGTCTTCGTTTACACTGCGCTTCCCAAATGTGTTAAATGTGTTCGGCCAAAGGGACTTCTTTTGTTTTCCTATATCTTATTACTATTCCTCAGGGAGGACTTTGGAAGCGGGCTGTGAACAAGTGGCCTCAATTGCTCGCAGCAGAAGGTGGTGGTTTTTTCTTTCCTCCGCCTGCATTTGGCGGACGGCAGAAAAATGTGTCTTCATTCACATGCGGGGCTGTCAGTCCCTGGAGAGACGCCGCCCAGAGTGGCTGGACAGCTGCCCAACTTTCCACGGGCGCTGGCGCGGGGCGCACGCGGCCCCTCGTGAGGAGCGGAGACGCACTCCTGGCCAGGGCTGACTCTCCTCCCAGGCGGCAGTTTCTCGTTACAGTTGGGGCGGGTGCTGCCTCTGTGACTCAGGTTTATGTAGACCTGGCTGGGGCAGAGAGCTCCCAAAGCAAAGGTAATTTAATTACGGGCAAAATGGGCTTGTGAAACGGATCGGGGAATTGTCGAAATCCGCTAACATGGCTGGAATTATCCTGTTCCTATTAAAAACCACTTTGCTAAACAGGGCTGCGCCCGTCCCTCCTGGCCCTGGCGCCCGGCCCTGGCCGCGCGCCCCTCTCGGCCCTAACGCTAACCATATGGCATCGCGATGGTCCGTCCCGACCCGCCGTGAGCTCCCCGAGGGGAGGAGCCGGTCTCCCGCGCGGCCGAGTCCCTGACCCAGAGCAGAGAGTCAGGCGCTTGCCTACTAGATGCTCAGAAACTGTGTCACGTTGGGCTGAGCTCACGGCCGACGTCTGACCTGGCGTTTGGGCCCACGACGGCCAGGGCCGAGGCGAGCACTGCGCGAGGCCTCTCGGCAGAGGGCAGCCTGAGGCCCTCCGGGGCCGCGTGCCTCGCGGGCCCCGGCATCTCCCCCGCCCTCGGCTGGGGCCAAGGACGGCGCTGCGGCGCCCGAGCCCTCGTGCCCAGCCCGTTGCCGGAGGCCCCGTATAGGCTGTCTCACCGCAGGCAGCCCCGTGGAGCGGGGATGAGGGCTGCCCCCACGTCACGGCTCGTAGCTGCCCTTCCTCGCGCCTCGTGGGGTTCACAGAGGCGGGAGGCCTTGCGGTCAGGGGACGGCGGAGTCAGGGTTTCTGGGCTAGGACTCCTCTGGCCCCTCCAGAGCCGGAGCCCTCTGTCCCTGCGGACTCATCTTCTCTCAGTGCTGGCTCTGGGCACGAGGACATGCCCCTGTAGCTCTTCTTCCTGGAACCAGGGGAATGTTGTCACCGCTGTTTCAAACATAAAGCAAGCGGGTGCCTTCCTGCAGGGGGGGTGACCGGCCGCGCGCCGCCAGCGTGCTCAGGAAAACCCTTCCCTTCTCTGCTCCACGTGCGTAGGCCACAGGCAGCTTCCTGGGCTTGCCCGTCCTGGCCAGCGTGCGGCCGGCAGGCTCGGGGGAGCGCTCTGCCGGCCTGCGGGAAGGTGTTCCATTCTGCTGTGCACACCCTCGCTCCCGGTGCCGCGCGCGGGTCCCTGCCCCACTGGATGAGCTGCTCACCGGGGAGGACCCACCAGCACCTCGGAGGGAATGCATGGCCGTGACCCGGGTGACTGGGGGGGCCCCTGAGGCTTTTTTGAAAAGGGGCTCAGATAGGGCCGAGGCCGTGTTCCGGGAAGACAGACGGAGCGAATGGTGCAGGCACGGTTGGGGGAGGGGACAGCGGAGGGCGTGGGGAGGCGGCAGCATGAGCGTCCGGGCCAGCAGGCCGTGCGCGGACCTTGGGGTCTGCGCCTGCAAACCGTGCGGCCGCCAAGGGCTGAGCGGAAGGAACCCGGCTGGGAGCTGGCCAGTCTGAGCCGGTGCGAGGGCAGGGGAGGCTGCTCGCGGAGGATGCGGAGCCGGGCGGAGCCAGCGGCGACGCTGGTGAGAGCAGACGTAGGACGGGGCCGGCGAGGCGCGGGCTGTGGTGAGCGGTGGGGCGGCACAAGGGAGCCCTGGAGGGGCTGTCGGTGCCAGCCAGCCCCCAGGTCTCCCCAGAGTCTCCCCACGTCCCTCAGGGGTCCCAGACAGGAGTGCTGTGATGGGAAGCTGGAGGAAGGGCGTAGCCGCAAAGCCGGGGTGGGTGGCAGAGGGACCCCCAGGCCCAGCCTTGCCTGAGAGAGGCCCGCTCGGCACGGGTGGGGTTTAGCTTCCGGAAGCCGGAAACGGGGCGAAGCCAGCCAGCGGAGCGTGTCGTGGTCCTTGTATCGCTGAACTTTTTACCACGAAAAGCGGACCATCGTAGTGAGACCCACAGCTGAGGCAGCGGTCGGCGTTCACGGGTTCCCTTGGACAGCTGCCCCGGCTTTCCGAGGAAACACCACCACCCCCGCCCCCGCCAGGGAAGGGGCCCCTCCTCCGTGCCCGGCGGCGAGACCGTCCTGCCCCTCCTTCCTTCCTGGGGGCCAGCTGCCCCTCGGGGTGGCTCTACTGTTGCGGCCCTCCCCTCCCCTCCCCCCGACTCTGTTTACAGATGACGATTTACTGGAAACAAAGCTCTATCTTCCAAGTCCAAGTTTATAAAGAGAATGCTCACGCGGGACTTGAGGCAAGAGGAGATGCATGTTACTTTCCGTGACTCAGTGGCTGTTTGTTTGGAAAGACAAGCCGCACCTCGGCCAGATGGTTTAGAATTAAACTTCCACGGCCGTGGGTGCATCTTCTCTCAGTTTGGAGCCCGCGGGGCGGAGTTCTGCCGCCTAAGCTGCCGGAGAACGAGATGCAGCCCCAGAGAGAGTCCCAGGCGTGGGAAGCCCCCCACTGCTACGTGCCAAAGCGTCACGCGCCACCCTTTGAAAAACTGTCTTTATTATTATTATTGCACACAGTCCACCTTCCTAAAAGAAATTTAGAAGATCTATACAACCTTGAAAAATAAAGTGAAAGGAAGCTGCTAAAATTTTTTCTAAATGTTACGAGCTAAAAAGTGTCTCTTTACCCGGGTCCTACCCCGAAGAACCAGCTGATGGCAGTGCAGTGATTCTCATGGTCTTTACTTGGTCCTTTGTCAACAGGCGCGGGAAAGGCTTACCCAACCTGAAATGCGTAGCCGCCGTTCTTACTGAAATTCCTTCCGTCACGGAATGTTTTGGCCACGGTTTGCACACGCACGAATGAACACGTGGCATTTCATCTTCCTTAATTTCCTCTGCATCGCCCACAAGTGCAGATGACAACGGGCCATGAAATTATCAAACGACGTCGGGCGGAGGGGGCGGGGGAGGGGCGGGCTCCAGGGCCCCCGTCCCAGAGCCGAGGGGCCGGCCGCGGGTCCCTGCTGCCGATCGCCTGCGCCACGTCCCCGACGCCCCTCCTGTCCGTCGTTTCTCGTTCCAGGAATGACCATACCCGAAGAGGACGCGGACGTGGGGCAAGGCAGCAAATACTGCCTCGTGGCGATCGGGAGGCTGCAGGTGAGAAACAGCCCCTTTAACCTCGACGAGAGGCCGCAGGTTACCGGTACAGGTTCCGTGTCTCAGGAGGCTGGACGTGGGAGCACACGGGGCTGCGGGCCGTGAGCTGCAGAGTCCCCGCCTCCCCGGGGGCTTGGTCAGTCTGCCGCCCGCACCTGTTTAGTCACCGTGGGTGTGTCCTCGTCGAGGGCCCGTAGGACAAAGCGCCAGCTCGGGGCGCCTCACTCCCCGGCGCCGTCCACCCTGCTCCAGGCCGTGCCCGGCCCCCCTCACCACGCGTGTCCCCACCTCTGCCCGGTGCCTCCTTTCAGAGCCCCGTGTACTTCCTGTTCACTCCCGCCAGGAGCCCCAGCTACAAAGACCCCTCCCCCCGCGCAGTCCGAGGTCACACCCCCGGCCCCGCGCCCCGGCCCGGGGCCATCGTCCACGGTCTGTCCCCACAGTCCGCTGCCCGCCTGCCCCTCTCCCGCAGCTCCGAGAGGGTAGGGGATGCGTCTTTTTAATCTTGAAAAACACTGAACACGCTGAGAACCATGTCTGAAGCGCACTGGCTCCGTCTGCGGGGCTCTTCGCTGTCCCTGTGGCACTGAGCACCCCCCTTAGGGGTTGGGGGCCGTAGAGACATGGGGCACAGGACCCTTGCTGTTCACGTCCCTGATTCCCTGTGTCTCACCGTTTTCAGACAGAGGAGTAAGCAGTTTCGATCACGTAGGATAAACATTGGTTATTCCTTGCAGATGGGTGAAGGGAGACTCCCTGGGGGACTTCAGTCCCCCCGTGTTGACTTTCTAAATACCTTGGCCCGCTCCGTGGCCGCCTCTGCGATCCGCGGCAGAGGGAAGGCGGGAAGAGGGAAGGCTGCTGACGTGTCTCAGCACCGACCGTGTGCTGGTGTCTGACGCGCAGCCTCTCTGCCGTCTCACCCCCCGCGTGTCGGACGACAGGCTTCGTTACTCCCACGGGCTGATGGGGAAACTGAGGCGCGGCGATGGGAGGACGTGGCCCTCGGTCACTGTCTGTCGGAGGCGCGATCGGGCTGTTGGAACGTTTAGGCGCATCGTGTGAACGATGTGGAAGGACCTGTGAGCTCAGTCTGCCCGGGCTGCCCCCTCCTCTGTCTCTGTCAAACTTCCTCGCCGTGGGTCTCCCGCCGCAGGTGACCAGCTCTCCCGTGTGCATGGACATGAGCGGGGTGTCGGCGCCCACGGAGTTCCTGTCGCGGCACAGCTCCGACGGGATCATCACGTTCGTGGACCCGAGGTGCATCAGTGTGATCGGCTACCAGCCCCAGGTGGGCCGCTCGGAGCGCATGGCCGTCGGGTCGCGTCACGGCGAGGCACGCGGCTGCTCTGGGGGACGCTAGGCCCTTTGCTTAGAACCAAGGCGAGGGGAGGTAGATCGTAAACAGGCGTTTGAGAAGTGCAGTTATTCTGTGGCAACAGTGTTCCTCCAGCCACAAGAGAGCTGCAAGTTAAACGGTTCATTAAAAACAATTAAACAGTTTAAACGTTTAAACAATTCCAGTGCTCTTAGGTAGCGTACCTGCCACCTGCCTGCCTGCTATCGCGTGCTGTCTTCTTATGTTTATTGACACGTTTGTTGCAGTTTGCTTCTCTAAGGCAAACAAAAATAAAATTGCATCCCGATGCTGTGGACTGAGGGCCTCTGCGAAGTGGAGATGAGTTGGCGGTGCCGGAGGGGCTTGGGAGGGGTTCCAGCAGCCTCCCCCGCGGCTCCACGGTCGCGTTGTGCTGGGGAGGGTGTTCACCCACCCTTTCCCCTGCGTGGGGCAGGCGGGAGACGGGTGAAGGGCGTGGAAGGTGAACACTGTGTTGATATGTAAGTTATGAAAACAGGGACTGGGGTTATTAAACCCTCTCTCCTTGTGTAGGATCTTCTGGGAAAGGACATTCTGGAATTCTGCCACTCGGAGGATCAGAGCCACCTGCGCGAGAGCTTTCAGCAGGTACCGCCGCTGCCGCTGCCGGGGCGTAGAGGCCGGGCCCGCGGGGGTGTGGCCGGCAGGACATCCGCTCCACAGCGTACTGGGCAGTCAGGGCCCTGCCCCGAAGGAGCTCGCAGCCTTGCAGGGGAGGCAGACCTATCGGGAAGAGATCGCTGAGTCGCAGGGAAGAGCAGAGGACGGGGAGGGTCGCAGGGAGGGCGGGAGCGAGTCCCACAGCACGGCGATAACAGAGCTGGGGCTGGGGCTCGCCTCCTTCCAGAGCCCCCATTCCTGTGCCACCGCCCGCACGCAGGCCTCCCCATCGGACAGGCCTCTGACGCGGCCAGAACCTGGTTGGCTTTGAGAAGAAAAGGACGGAATTGAACATCTAACCCTGCCTGGCTTCCAGCCTCAGTTACTCTGGCTCTGTGAGCCGCCCCCCGCCCTCCGTCCCGCAAGTGGGAGGGGAAGGTCCAGGAGAAGCCCCTGGAGCCTTGGCCCGGCCCCCGCAGGGCCCACGGGAAGTGGCGCGCAGCCGCGGGGCGCCCCGGGGCGCGCTTGTGTTCTCTGGGCTTCGGCCACCGGCAGCGGGGTGGGCAACGAATGTTGATACAGGGAAGTGGCTTGTTTTTTCAAAAGCGCGGCGGGAGCTCTGTCAGCCCTTGAACTCTGGGCTGAAACAAAAACACCGAATGGCCCAGATCACGCACGTGAGGAATCTGAGTTGGGTGGTCACAGCACACCCGCCGGGGGCCCGGACACCCGAGTGGCCTCCCAGATCCCCTCTCTGGGTCACGGTTTACCTGGAAGTCAGACGGAGGAGCGGGGCCCCGTGACACAGAGGGTCCCCTCCCATCTCTTCCTCGGCGCTCAGACGCCTCCCATCACCACGGTGATGCAGGCGGAGCTGTTTTCATGGGCAGCATGTGAGGCTGGGCCTCAGCCTGGCCCTCGTGGCCTCAGGTCTCAGCATCGCCCCTGCACGAAGCACCAGCCTGGCCTTGAGGCCTGGACTGCGTAGCTCCTGCCCGAAGGTGCGGCCTGGCCCCACCGCGCCTCGCGTTTCCCAGCCCCCAAACGTGTGCTCAGGCTGTGCCCTCCCCCAGGAGGGCCCGCCCACACAGGCTCACGCGGCAGCAGCCTGCCCCACTGCAACGCTCGCCCGGGCGCCATCTGCCCCCGGAGCCGCACGGGGTCCCAGGAAGAGGCTCGGTCCCCCTTAGAGTTTCCCAATCTCATTTGTGAAAGCTAAGAAAGCCCTGATACAAGGCAGGCGTTCGCTGGGTCTCTCACACAGCGGCGGCAGGAGGACCCAGGCGCAGTGCGGAGTCGCAGCGGGGAAGCCGGCGGGGGGCCCGTGGCTGGAGTGCCCCCCTCGCCCTCGCTCTCTCTGCCTCCGGCCGCCGCCACGCCCAGTCCCTCCTCTCGCTCATTCCGTCTCCACTTGCTTCTGCAGGTGGTGAAGCTGAAAGGGCAGGTGCTGTCGGTCATGTACCGGTTCCGCACCAAGAACCGCGAGTGGCTGCTGATCCGCACCAGCAGCTTCACCTTCCAGAACCCCTACTCGGACGAGATCGAGTACGTCATCTGCACCAACACCAACGTCAAGTACGTGCCTTCCTCCCCGCCGTCGGCCCCGCCCCTGCGCGCGGAGCTGGGGCGCTCGGTCCTGCTGAGCCGGGCTGCAGGGGCGAACGGCTCTGGGGCCGGGGGTGGGCGCCTCGGGGACCCGCGGTCTCTCTGTGCCCGGCCGCTGGCACGTGCTGCTTCCCACAGCCGGGCCCTCCAGGTGTCGGCTCAGGCCGGCCTCAGCCTCTGCCCCCGTTTCCTGGCCGTGCCGTGGGGGGCCTCCTCCCTGGCAGGATGAACCGAGGCCCAGCTCTGAGCGACATGCAGGTCGTGCCTCCTGTCTGCTTTTATCCTCGAGGAAGCAGCATAAACAAAGTCGACGCGGCGCCCAGCGCACGGAGCCCTGGCTCCTGTGCCCGGGGTGCTGGCGGCTGCAGCCTGCAGGGGCCGAGGACTGGCCGCCCGCCGTCCCCCGTCCCCATCGTTGGCACCGCCGTTCTCCCACACTCAGCACCGAGACGGGTCTCTTCCCACCCGCCACCTGCCCGTCCTCGCCTGCCGGCAGTGTCCCCGTGACTGCAGCCCACAGGCGGTCGCCCTGCTTCCTGCCTCCCAGGCCCCTGGGCAGCAGAGCTCCCCTTGGGCCCCACGGAGCAGCCTTCTTCCCGGGCAGCAGCGCCCTCTGCGTCGCAGCCTCGGCCAGGGTCCGGCCTCCAAGCACCGCCTGGACACACAAGCCCACGCAAGGTCTCTCTGAGGGCAGGTGGCCTGGGTTTCTCAGTCCCGGGTCCCTGTGAACAAGTCCCCTTTCGCAGCCTCGCCGCCTCGCCGCCTCGCCGGTACTGGGGATGGGGGGGTGGAGCCTCGCCCTCACACCCTGCAGGGGGGCGGTGTGCAGGGAGCCACCTTGCCGCCTGCCACAGCTGCTGGCCGGGGTCTCGGTCATTCCTTACGTGCAGCCCCAGATGTCCTTTGGCTTCCGGAAGCGCACTGCGTGGCTTCCTTCTACCTCTGGGCGGGTCCTGCGGCCTTTCTCGCGAATCGAGAGGCTGGGTCTGGGCGTGGACCTCCTCCTGCCCATGGCAGTGTCCGTGTCGGTCCCTCCTGTCCTTCCCCGAGGCTCCGGGCAGTGGGGAGGCTGCTCCCTCCAGGCCGACCCTTGGAGCCAGGCTGGGCGCGGGGCCCTAGGGAGGGGCTGCAGCGAGGAGAGGACGTGCCAGCGGGGCGGCCGAGCACCTGCTCAGGCTGCACCGTGCCCCCCGACGCGTCCCTCCTGCCACAGCCCCGCCGCCGGCCACCGCCGCCGCCCCTGCGGGTGCCGGGGAGACGGGCAAGCCCATCGTCGTGCGTTCAGAGCCACAGACGCTGTGCTCGAACTTCCCTCCTTTGATGCCAGCATTTTGACGGGTTCTTAGCGAGAGCTGCCCCCAGTTGTGATCCCGTCCCTTTCCTGCTGTTCACCCGCCTGCTGCACGCCCTCCCTCCACGCGCGAGCTTCCGCAGCCACGTAGGCGCCCGACGGGAGGAAGCGTTCAGAAGGGCGCCGTGGGGACAGCGCGCACCCTGCTCTCACGCCGCTCCTGCGCTGCAAGGTGGACCGCTTTTGTGGCCAGCAGAGGGCAGTGACGGCCGCGGACGGGGACCAGTCTGGCTCTTTCCAGAGCCCTAGCCTTTGCCAGCAGCAGGCTGCCTTGTTGTGGAAAATTGGGGGAAAGAAATTCAAGCCCTGCCGCACTCAGTCATCGGAAAGAAACGTCCCGGAGAAGTCAGGCGTCTGATGGTCGGCGGCCGCCGAGAAGAGGGCCCGTCGTCCCCGAGTGACCGCAGAGCAGGAAAGCGGGACGAAGCCCGGAGAGCAACGCAGACGCCCGTCTCACGGGCTGGACGCGCGGCTTTGACGCACGCCCCCGTCTTGGAGTTTGGGGGGGCAGCGCTCGGCGGGGGGGGGACACACCGGGGGCCGTTCCCGACGGGAGTCGTTGCAGTGTTTTTGCCTTGGCCCCACCGAGGGCCGTGCCGTCCTAGGAGCCAGGATGTCGGCAGGGAGTGCCTGACGCTGTCCCTCGGCGCCTGCTCGGCCCAGCCCTCCCTCCTGCGCGATGACTGTCCGCGGCCCCGCCGGCCGCCCTGACCGCGGCTGCACGCTGTGCGCCGGGCGTGTGTTTCCCTGCAGCTCCACGTCTGCAGCCCCGCTGGGAGCCCAGCGCCCGTCCTCAGCGACGGCCCCGCCCGCCGGGCTGGCAGTTGGCAGGATGCTGGGAATCGGGGGTACACAAGAAGTGAAAGGAAGGTTCGTTCCTGGCTTCTGCAGGGCTTAGAGCCGGAGCACCCGGTCGCCAAGCCCCGACCTGGGACGTGTCCCGGTCCCGCCCTCCCATCCACCCGCAGCAGATGCCTGGCCAGAAGCGGACCCTGCAGGTTCTGCCTGGGATTTCCTCTGGCCCCTCGGCCGCTCCCGTGCCTCCTCAGAGCCCCGGGTGGGGCCTTGGCGTCTCTCAGGCGAGCACCCGTCCTCTCCCTGGCGGCTCCCCCGCCTTCCGTCCGGCCCCTGTAGAGCCAGCCCAGGTGGCCTGGGGGCACACTCTCTAAGACACGCCGCTCCCCGGCCGCAAGCGAAGCAGCTCCGGGGCCCTTCACGGGCATGGAGACGGTGCTCTGTCAGGCGGGGATGATGAGCCTCGCTCCGCTCGGCCGAGCTTGCTGAGCCCCCCGACGCCTCCAGCCGGACCCTGGCTTCTCCCAGGGGTGCGAGCGCTCCTTCCGGCCGAGAAAATCCGCACGCGTCAGCCCCGCGCCGTGACGCCCTCGGTGCGCGGAGGCTGCCAGGACAGGGAGCCGGGCCGGACACGCCTGGTTCCTCCTCGTCAGCTCTCACCCCCAGCTTGTGGGGGGCCGCGCTTGGCTGCGGTGGGGGCCCTGGTTCCCTCGCAGGAGCTGTCGGTCAGCTTTCTCCTGAGCAGCGCATTTCTCCTCTCTGGAATTTGCAAACGTACCAAGGTTTATTTTTACTCCGTCTCCACGAAATGTCCAAGAAACCTACTCAGGCCTCTTCCCAGGACAGGGCAGCGTGGGAACCAAGGGCTGTGGGATGGGAATGCGGGTGTCCGGACATGGGGTGTGCAGCCCAGCCCGCGACCTGCTTTCTACGCCCCGTGGAAGGAGCGTTGTCTGGCGGAGGAGCTCAAAGGGATGAGGGCAGCCTCCCGTCCCGGTGGCTCCAGCCCGCCCCTGCCCCGCACCGCAGAAGCGCCTGTTAGTGCTGATGCCGGGGCCAGTCAGCACCGTGGGGGTCGGGCTAGCTCCTGAAAACTGGCGCTTAGATCTAAACGTTCGCTCCGTGTTAAACGCGACTGCCTTTTGTATACGGTAACGGGAAAAATACAATAAAAAAAAAGAAACCCCAACTGCTTTTCTGAATTTTGCCTTAATGTTTTTTCCTTCTTTGAAGTGTCTTTATATCCTGCATAAAATGAAGTCATAAATCAAAACTTATTTCCTGTGCATCAGCAGCTTACACTTAGAATTCAGAACTTGGCGTCTTGATTCGGAGCATTTTAATAAAGAAGAAATAAACAAAACGCGGGAGCAACACAGGGAGCCGGCGGGGGCCGCGCGTGGGGCCTGGGGCGGGGCGGGCCCCGGGGCGGCCGCCGTGCTGACAGACGGCTGGCGTCTTGCTCCCCAGGCAGCTCCAGCAGCAGCAGGCGGAGTTGGAGGTGCACCAGCGGGACGGGCTGTCGTCCTACGACTTAGCGCAGGTGAGCAGCTGCCCCCGCCCCCGGGGCCTGCGGACTAAACCCAGCTCTTGGCTTGAGCCCCTCCGCCCAGCAGAGCCTGTCACTCCGTCCTCCCACGCTGTGCAGAGACTTGGGTCCCTGGAGGACCTGTCACTCTTTCACGCAGAGCTCAGCCGCAAAAGGGTGTGAACCGGGTGACAGGCGGCCTCTGAGCCACAGTCGGGGCCGAGAACGTCAGGGCTACGGGCACAGTCAGGCTCTGCGCCAACAGCCAGAGGCCGACTCACCCGGCTCCGAACCGTCCCAGCCGACTCTCCCGCCTCTCGTCTGGGTCCCGCTCTTCCTCCCTGCCCTTCACCTGCACTGTGTCCTTCCCGCGCCTTCCTCCCCACCCGCCCCCGCCTCCCCAGGCCCCCCATCTCTGTCTCCTCCCCTCTTCCTCTCCCACTGCTTCAGGTGACAGGCAGGGACCCCCCGGTATGGGCACTTGACCTCTCCTGAAGGAAACTTTATGTCCCCTCTCCCTGAGAGGTAGAGTACATTAATTATTTTTGCTTTTCTCCGTCATCCTGTGACCCTGCTGTGCTTTCTGGGACCTCCTGTTCCCACCCCACCACGTCTGTTCCTGGCTCTCGGGCATAGGAAAGCTGCTCGCCCCACCCCACGGCTCAGCCGGCAAGGCCCGCGGGGGCCGCTTCCTGGGGGGCCGGGGCCTCACGCGCGGGACGCTGTTGTGTCTCGATGTGCGAACAGGTCCCTGTCCCCAGCCTGCCCGCTGGCGTGCATGAAGCCGGGAAGTCGGTGGAAAAGGCGGATGCGATCTTTTCCCAGGAGAGGGACCCCCGGTTCGCTGAGATGTTCGCGGGGATTGGAGCATGTAAGTGTCCGGGCGGCGCCGGGGCTGTGCATGCGGGGTTTCCGGCCACTGTCTGGCCCACGGGAGACAGCCACTCGTGGGGGCGGGGCCGCAGGCCGTGAGGGCAGGATCCGGGCGGGCCTGCCCACCTCTGGCCACGCCTCTTCCTCACCCATCCCCTCAGGCCTCTGGCGTCTTGTCTTCAAAATGGGAAATTTTGGAATAAACGAACAGTATTGATCCCCGGGGCGCTTTAGTTTTTGTAACTGTCCCTGTTTTAAAAAAAAAAAAAATCTCCGCTTAATCCCTCACATAAAGGAGACCACATTTTAAAATAAAAGTATGCATTAAAGACAAAAATAAAAATGATCCACTCTCCTACCACCTGGATGTAATCATTTTAAAAAGTATGTCCTTTCTGCGTTTTTTACACACATGAAGGCCTTTTATGTACATAGTTGAGCTTGCAGCATTGGGTACCTTGCTCTTTTCATGTGGTGGTTTATTGTGAGCTTATTTCCAGATCATTAGACAATCTAAGTCATTTTTATCGCTTGCATCGACTCCCACAGTTCACTCTGGACCGTTTGCGGGGCACCGGGTTGTCTCCCCTACTGTAGAGACAGAGACGCAGTTCTCAGCGAGGGCGCCCCATGGAACCCTGTGTGTGGCCACCTCCCTCTCTGATTCCTACTAGGAGTAGCAACTTGTAAAACTGGGAAATGTCCCCATCGGTTCCAAAATTCAGAAGGAAGATAGCATGTTCTTGTGGTTGAGGCATTTCGGCAAGATCCAGCGCGGTCTAGGTCAGCTGAAGTTGGAGAGAGCAGCCGACTGACCCCAAAGGACATGCTGTCATTGGCAGGGAACCCCAGTAACATCCTATGAGGATGAACACGCTGGGGACAGGGTGGGCCGAGGCGGGGCAGAGAGGCCCCGGGAGCTGGAAGAGAGCAAGTCTCCGTACCCACGCCGTGTGCGCCGCGGAAGGCCGCAGCGTCCTTACAACGTGGCTGAGGACCGAGCGTGGCGGTGTCACAGGAGGTGCGGGGGCGGCCGCCCACAGAGGGCCGTAGGTGCCAGCACCACATGGCGCCCAGCCCCCAACGGCAGACAGACCTGCCACCAGGACGGGGAGGCTCCTGCTCTTCGTTCCCCTGACTACCCAGATGCGCCCTCTACCTGCACCCGTGCGTCCTCCACCTGTGTAGAGAAATGTGGCTTCCCCCAGCAGGAGGGAGGCAGGAGTTTCCACAGTGCCCACAGCGTCTGGGAATTCCACGTGACATGTGTCAGCATACAGACACACACCTTCCCGTAACAATGACAAAATAGAGGGGAATCAACAGAGAAGAAAATAAAGGGGAAGAAAAGAGGTGATGCAAGTGTCCTCCAGCAACCAGCCTGCTCCCTTACTTGGGAACAACAGAAAGACATTCTCAGGCGTGCACCGCCCGCTTGTACCAACGTGAAACCTGACTTGCATTGTGAGACAAACGCTGCATCAACTGTGGCACACGAGAGCCGAAGGGACGGCTTGGCAAAGCCGTAGGGGTAAAAAAGGAAGCTACAAACACCTGGAATTAATGTACAAATTGTTAGAAGACAGAAAAGGCCACCAGAATCAAATCAATTCAGAAAGATCCAGGCATGGTTTGGACTTGGGGGTATTAAACAGAAATATTTTCAGCGGTACACACTGTCTTATCGCTGACATTTGTAGAAAAATACTGCTTCCATTGTGTCTAAACATGACCATTAAGGGGAAAAAGAAAAGGAAGGAAAGTAGTCTCATGTCCAAGAAAAAATGTGGAAATTGTCAGCCAATTGCAAAATAGAAGAAAAAGGGAGATCTCAGGAAAATATGACTATCAAGAGGGATAAAATACGTTGATGTTCAAGGACTCCTGGTTGATAACTCCTGAATAGTAAGTAACCTGCCACAATATGATAGAAGCCAAGCAGAGCGAAGTGAAATCAAAACGATGAAGATGTCAAAGAGGCGTTTGTGCGCGACCTCGCCGCCCCCGCGCCGGGAGCGGGACCGCAGCCGGAACCGAGCGCCTTGATCGCTGCTCGCGTCCTGCCGCACAGGCGCTTCCTTTCCACGGGGTTGGAAGGATCTGGTAAAATCGCGTCTGAGGAAGGACTTCGCTAGTTCTTTTCATCTTCCTGACGCCCGGCAGGGCCTGCCTCCCTGTGGCGGGTGTCCCAGCCGAGGTGTCGGGTGCAGGGAAGGCCCCAACGGGAGCCACCCGTGGTCTGCAGGGCAGGGCGCCCTTGACCGTGACCCTTGCTCTGCTCTCTGCAGCGGAGAAGAAGATGATGAGCTCAGCCTCTGCAGCGGGAACCCAGCAGATCTACTCACAGGGAAGCCCGTTCCCCGCCGGACACTCGGGCAAGGCCTTCAGGTACGGGCCGGGCGGGGCGGGGGCCGCGCGGTCGCGGCTGGGCTCTGTGTGTGTGCGGTTGCCGTCTGCAGGCCCCTGGCCAAGCAAGGGCTCTGGTGCCTCTGGTTCTGCCCGGCAGCCTCCATGGGTTGCCATAGATACGCGGTGTCAGTTACTCTCGGATGTGAGAGGCAGCAGCCACCGTGTCTGCCAGCGAGCAGGGGCAGAGCTGGCTCCCCGCCAGGACCTGGGTGGGGCGGAGCTGCCGACACCTGACAAGGGAGCTGGATGTGCCCTGGCCTCAGGTTTTCAGAGGCCACGGCCTCGCCCGAGGAAGAGGACGTCACGGCCTATCGTGCCGCGGGTCTCGGCCTTAAGGGCCGCTCGGGGGCAGGCAGCGTGTCGGCCTTGCCCAGCCTTGGCTTTTGGCCTCTCGGGCCTCCGGAGGTCCCTGGGGAAGCCCTGGCAGCAGCCCCGGAGGCAAATCTGCCCCAGGACCCACGGGGGAAACAGGAGTGAGACCGGGGAGGCCCCCAGAAGGCAGGAGTGAGGGGGAGGCTTCAAGTCGGGGAGGAACAGCCCAAGGCTGTGGGGCCTCGAATGCCACTCGGAGGAGTTTGGACCCCTTCGCCGGGGGCCCTCGGGAGAGGCGGGGCTGGAGGACTCGGCCCTGGTGGAGGTTGGGGGCAGGGCGGCGTGCAGGGCGGAGGGGAGAGCGAGGCTGAGGGGGTGGCTAGGACTCAGTCCCGCTGCCGCTGCCGCTGCCGAGGCGACGCCCGGGCGAGGCTGTTGTCCCAGAGACACGGTGCGGAGGAGGAACAGCAGCTGCGTGGGGGGGGGTCGTGGGCGCTCCGGCCCCCGGACAGCTGGGCGCGCCAGTGTCAGAGAGCTGGGCCCGCAGAAGGATGTGCAGGGGGCCCCGGGACTCTTGCACGGGCCCCCCCGGAGAACCACCCAATGGCTCTGAGGGGTTCCACAAGGCAGGCAGAGGGGCAGCCAGCAGCGTGCTTAGGACTGGCCTGCCCAGCTTCCAGGGACCGGCCTCGTCCTTCCGCTGAAAGGGAGCAAATGACAGCCCGCGGCCTAGTTCCTGAAGCCCGAAGCCCTGCAGGCGCCCCAGAGGAACAAATTAACCAGAGCACAAAGGAGGCGCTTAGCGCCGAGGCTGGTTTTTAAAGGGACGGGCGTCCCCGTTCCTGGGTATCATCAGCGGAGGGAGCGGGAGAGGCGGGGAGCAGGAAGGTGGTGGTCCCCACGGGGCGTGGGCTGGGCGGGGCCTCTCGGACCGACGTGCTGTTCTCTTTTCCTCCAGCTCTTCCGTGGTTCACGTGCCTGGAGTGAACGACATCCAGTCGTCCTCCTCGACGGGCCAGAACATGTCCCAGATCTCCCGGCAGCTAAACCAGAGTCAGGTGGCGTGGACGGGGAGTCGGCCCCCTTTCCCCGGGCAGGTATGGGCCTCCGCGAGGGCACTGCCCTCGGCCGCCGCGAGAGCAGAGCTCGGCACGCCGTGTGCGCGCCCCAGCCCTGAGCCGGGGCTGAGGCCCCATAACTGGGAGCTGGAGGACCCCGGCCACCAAAATCCTCGGGCCCGTACCTGTGGGCTGGGTCTCAGGCCTTGTGCCCAGCCAGCCAGGGGGGCCGTGGGCTTCCCGCCAGCCCAGAGCAGGCGCTGCCGCTGCGCCCATAGCTGCGCGGGGCGGGGGCCTGCCGGCGACGCGTCCCATGTCCTCGCTCTGTCCTGATTGTAGCAAATGCCCTCTCAGTCCAGCAAGACGCAGTCATCCCCCTTCGGGATGGGAACGAGCCACAGCTACCCGGCCGACCCCGCCTCCTACAGCCCGCTCTCCAGCCCTGCGACCTCCTCGCCGGGAGGGAATGCCTACTCCAGCCTGGCCAGCAGGACCCCGGGGTTCGGTAGGTGGGGGCTGGGGCAGAGATTCCTGGGAGGGCCCACAGAGATGCTTCCTGAACATCCTGGGGGCGGGGGGCGGCTGAGCGCCACACTCCCAGAATCCTGGCGCCGCGTCTGCAGGTCTGCGGACCCCGCTCCTCTCCGGCTTTGAGGAGGCCGGTGGTCGCCTAGGAGACCGGCTGCTTAGACCCGGGCCTTACGGATGGCGGATGGCGGATGGCGGATGACGCCGCCGCCACAGTCAAGGCCCAGGGACTCTGTCCCTCTGCGCCAGTGAGGTCATCGGCATGCCCTTTCACCCTGTGTGTCCCTTGGCAAGGACCCTCAGGACCCCCGCGTTAAAAACCCTGTCATCTTGTTTCAAAACACGGGGGACGAGTCGCCGGGATGACCGGCCGTGTGAACGGTGGACGCTGCAGCGCTCCCTCTCCCTCTCACGTTAACCGAGGAGGGGGCCGTCCCACGGCGGCACAGCCTTCCTGGCTCTGCCCACAAAACCTCAGGCCGGAAAGGGCTCTCTAACCACCCTCTGCTGTGTGTCCCTTGCTGTCACTCCCAGGGTGGGCTGAGGGACCCAAGGCTCTGGCAAGAAGCCTGAGCGGTGCCGCCTTCTCCGGGGTGACACCGTGGGACACCCGAGAGTGGGGTCCGGGGGCACTTCCTGGGGAGCGCGAGGCTGAGCCCGGCCGTCGGAGCTCCCGGTGCCGTCCAGAGGGCGGCCGCTGTTCAGAGCCCCAGCCGCCACGCGGGCCCGCCCGCCGCCCCCAGCCCGCGTCCCTGGGGTGCAGCTCATCCCGACCCCGCCGTCCCTCTGCAGGACCCCACTGTCCCCCGACTCGGGTGTGTGCCCCGACTGGAAGTCAGCCCCGGGACCCGCCGGGTACGGGATGGTGCTCCAGCCGACGGAGCCGCCCGGCCAGGGCCGACCTTCCCAGGACACCAGCCTTAGTGGCCTGGAGCCCACCCTCATGGCCTCGCTTTACGTGAATAACCTCTCTTTGTCGGCCACTCCCGAGTGGCGGTCTCAGGTCCTGGGGGTTACGGCCTCCCACGCGCGTTGAGGGGGCCCAGCCCGGGCGCCGGCAGGAAGCGGGGCGCAGGCAGCCCCTCCATGCTGGCGCCTCGTCCCTCGGATCTTGCAGCTGAAAGCGGGCAGAGCGGCGGGCAGTTCCCGGGGCGGCCCTCGGAGGTCTGGTCGCAGTGGCAGAGCCAGCACCACGGGCAGCAGGCCGGGGAGCAGCACGGCCACCAGCAGCCCGGCCAGACCGAGGTGTTCCAGGTAAAGCCGGCGGCCGGCGGCGGCTGCCCCGGCCCCTCTGCGCAGCTCGGCCCGGCCCGCCCTTCCCCCTCCCAGCCGCCCTGCAGGATGGGGTCCCCTTCCCTGGCTTGTCATGGTCACGATGCTAGACAGGGCTCTCGGTCCAGTAAGTCTGTGAAACTCTGGCTACACAGTCACGCAGTGGCTTGGCTGCAGGACTTCCCAGAGCCTTCGTTGTACTGCCGAGGACCGAGGACGTTAGGAGGAAGGTAAAGCGTGCCCTGCTTCCCAAACTTGGCGGGCCGTAGAGCTCCTTCTTCCCGGCGTCTCTCGTGGATCGACAAATAAACAGAACACGCTGCCGGGCAGTTGCCGTTAGGAATTGAAATGTAGCCACTCCCGCTTGCTGGGTGGGCGGTCTGAGGCCCAGAGAGCTGGAAGGGCTCGCTGAAAGGGACGCCTGGGCGCGTCGGGCTTTGGCCGCGCCCTCCCCAGACGCAGGGACGAGGGCCTCTGAGGCCCCCGCGCCCCGTCACGTGCGCCGCGCGCCTCCTGCACGGCCGCCGCTGACTGCGTGCACTTGCTTGGGGCCGGGCCGGGTTCGCCCTGCGGCGCAGCCCTTCTGCACCCCGGGGTCCCGGCCCGGCCGTAAGCAAAGGCTGTGCCCTGCAGTGGCGTTGACCTGTGGGAATGAAGCACCCAGCAAGGAGCAGCTTCCCTGGGCCCCCGACACTCGGGGACCCCTGCAGAGCGTCCCTGGGGGCGGGGGGCGTCCCTGGGCTGGCCCCGAGGCGGACACGCAACCCTGAGGCGGCGTGGCCGTGCGCGTGCCCGACTCCCCGGCGGCCTCCCTGTCCCCCTGCTGCAGGACATGCTGCCCATGCCGGGAGACCCGACCCAGGGGACAGGCAACTATAACATCGAAGACTTCGCTGACCTGGGCATGTTCCCGCCGTTTTCTGAGTAGCCGTGGACAGAGCGAGGCCTCCGCCCTGCAGCGCCGCCCCAGGTGTGAGGGGGACACCCGCGTGAGTGGGGCCGCTTCTCTGCCCGCTTGCCCTGCCGCGGACCCCCCAGCAGCGGGCGCCTCGCCCCCCGCCTGCGCCCAGGCGCAGCTCCGCTCAGCGCTCACCCGCCGCCGCGGCTGCCCGGCTGCCGCCCGGAGTCCTGGTAGACGTTGGGCGCCGCTTGTATTTATTGTGTTGAATCTGTGTGTCCTTGGGAGGCAAGGCCACCGGGTCCTTAAAATCTGGTTGTGTATAATCTCGTCATAGACGATTTTCACTTATAAAGAGTTTGGTTATATCCCCAAGTACCCACGCACCTCCACCCCTAGGCCCGCCCGAGAAGTGGGACCAGGTTTCTTCTCGCCTTTATTTTTTGGGGGTGGGTGGGGCTCGGGCGCCCCAGGCAGAGGCCCAGAGGCGAGCGGGAGGCGCAGCCTGTGTCCTGTGAGCTGGGAAGAGGAGCAGGGGTGAGGGGCCACGGGCTCACGTGGAGGCTCCTCCCCCAGCTCGCTGAGCCTGTGCTGTGTCTCTTGTGCTGTGGATGTGTACTTTGTGCAGTGTGATGTGAGTCCCCGTCCTGTTAGCTGTGTGGTGCCTGTGCCTGTTGCGTGGGGACAGAGTGGGCGTCTTGAGTGCTGCGTGCGTTGTGAGCGAGCGCTGACCCCCGCCCCACGCACAGCGGCCGCCCGGCCTCAGGCGGCGCGGCCCATGGTCCGGGCGCTGGGCGCATGGGCCGGCGTTTCCCCTCCTTGCCCCGCCGGTGAGGGTTGACCTCCTGCAGCCCAGGGTCTGCAGGAGGCTCACCGGGGGGTCCGCAGCCCTTGTGCCGAGGTGTGAACGGGAGCAGCGCCCAGGCCTCCTGTCCTGCACCTCCAGGTGGCTTCCCAGGACCAGCCTCGCCAGGGTGAATTCTGCTCAGTGACACGGGGGACAGTTTTAGGGGTGAGCCCCGCGAGCCCACCCCACGGGCCCGGCATCGTCGGGCGGTGCCCTCAGTCGGCAACAGCTTTGTGTGACCCCGGTTCCTAGACTCAAAATTAACACCGACCTTAGTTTCCAGAGCGGCGTTTGTCCCTTGTGAAGAGCTACGTGGCCCGGTTCAGGTGCAGGGGGTGTGTTTCCCTCAGGAGCCTTTGGCTTCGGGGGACGTGGCTGGAGGCGGGCACTCTCTTCCCCCGCCCCCCGCCGCCCCCCCCCCCCGCGTCGTATACCAGACCCTGAGGGGCTCCCCAGGGGGCCCGGCTGGGCAACCTCTGCCTCGTGGCCCGCGGCCAGGATAATTATTTCCAAAAAAGGCACAAAAACAGCTTTTGGATCAAAGAATGATTTCTCAGTAAAATGAAAACAGACCGTGGCCTTTAGCCTGTGAGTTGGGAAGTTGTGGGTGTTTTGTGTGTGTTTGTCCTTCTGTTTTTTTTTGGCAGGAACTTGGGGGGGTTTCTGAGGTGGCACGTTAGGTTGACCCGCTGGCCGTACCCTGGCCTGCTGGACACTGAGGGGCTGGGAAGGGAACGGAGGAGGCCCTGCCTCCTGGGACCTTTCACCTCCTCCTCTCACTTAAATGCAGCCCAGCGGGGCGTGGACAAGCGCAGTTCTCAGTCCCGGGAGGGGAGGGTTTGTGGGTGACGGGAAGCCGGGCGCATTTATCTGTGCCCATAGGGAGGCTGTGTGTTCCCAGCTGAGCATCTCCGACGATGTCCGCGCTCCCGCGGGACGACGCCCCAGGGAACGAGGGACAGGCGCGTGTGTGTCGGTACTCGGGCCGGGACGTGACTGTGGGTTCTTACGCCTGTGCTCGGCGACCTTTAGGGCCTGTCCTGTTCGCGAGGCCACGCCAGTCACTGAACAGCCCTCGACGGCAGCAGGTCACGGCCGAAATGACCTGTGTTTTACCAGGAAACACAGGTTTGGTGGCTGGGCCTGCTCCCTTCTCCAGACCCTTGTCTTGTGTGCAAAGGGGCCACCTGCTGCCCCCGCTTCCTCCACTGTCCTGGGCCTGAGGCAGCGTGAAGAGGCCCCGCCTTCCCCGCGTGCCTGGGGCTCGCGGCCAGAGCGGGCTTGGGGGCCGAGGCGCCGGCCCCAGCCCGGGGCGGGCGCTGCCCGGGGAGGTGGCCGGAACAGGACACCTGCTTCGTAACACTCTCCTTTTCCCTGCGAGACGAGGAATGTCACCGACGAACTTCGGCGGACGGTTTAAGCACTTAATCGTTGCTCTGCTAACTTTTCTTCTCCTGGATGTGAATTGTGCTGTGGACCAATCATCATTTGTATTCCCTGAATGTTCTCGATGACTAACGGTTATTAAGTCGGTTGCGTATATGTGTAACTAATGTAACGGCCTTTTAAAATTTCATGGCAGTAAAAATGATTTTTGCTCTGAACAGTGACTAGCCCAGGCCAACTTTGTGACCCAGCGGTCTGTGGACCATGCCCGTGGAGTTCGGGCGACATCTCGTAGGAAAGAAAAATGGAGGCTTCTGGCCAGCAGGCAGCTGGGCGCCGTACGATGGAAGTGCAGAGAGAGAACTAGACCTGAGGGACCCGCAGCGGCAGAGCCTGAAAACACACACACGTGCAGAAAGGAGGTGGCTGTGTGGTGCCGGGGGCCAAGCACAGAGGGAGAAAAGCACCTGGCTCCAGACATGGCACAATACGCAGGACACAACATGCCAAAAAATAAATAAATAACCCATGCAATGGAACTAGCTGAGGTTTTAAAACAATTAGAAAACATTTGCTAGGAAAATAGATTCCTGAAATCAGGTCAGGAAGGATTTCCTAAATGCCACCCAAAGAGCACAAGTGATGAAATAAAAATATTTCTGTGCTCGACTCACTAAAAAACCATTTGGCTTAAAGAAACGGAAAAGACAACCCGTAAAGGGGCAGGAAATAGTGGCAAGTTAGATACCCAACAAAGCAGCATCCAGAGGGTGTTCAGAGTATGGATCAGTCATAACAACTCACAGGCGTGTGACCCCTTGGGCAAGTGACCCGAGGGCCTGAGCTGCCGATTCGCAGAAACTCCGAGGGCACAAGAGGCCAAACCTCACTGGTAATCAAACAGGATATAACTGTCACTCGGTTACCAAATCTGGGAACACAGCTGTAACTGGGGATGTGGGGAAATGGGGGCTTCTTTTGCCGGTGACCAGGGGACAGTAGTAGCCCGGGAGAGGGTTAGGCAACACCCCCGGATGTCGCAAATGACAAACCCGGTGACTCAGAGCAGTTTCCGACTCCGAAGGCCGAGAGAGCTTCCCGCACGCGCCCGAGGAGACAGGTACGTGGAGGGGCGTGTGCCGTTTGGGACAGGTGTCCGCCCTTATTCACAGGGGACACATGTCAAGGCCCCCAACAGATGCCTGAAGCTGGGAACGGGGGTAGCGTGGAACCCTGCAGCCCTCGTTCCTTCCTGCACTTGGTGTCCATGGCGCCTTCGGTCTGCGTCCTCACCCATCCCAGGCCTCCCCCCACCCTGGCCGCCTGCTGCCCCGCCCCTGCTCTCTAGCAGCCGAAATCCAGGCCGGTTTCCTCCGATTCCCTGCCACTCCACACTCTGGGGACAGCCCAGGTGACGACGGCTCCCCTTCTTACCGTCCGCTGTGTCGGGAGCCTCTGAGGACGCACATTTTCCGCTTTCGTCCCTGAGGTTTGTGGGCCCCCTTTTGCTTCCTTCCTAGCCTGGGAGCGACCTGCAGGAAAACAGGCGTTTTGCCACATTTTACTCTCACAGCGCCTGACGTCGGTTGCCCAATAAATATTTGCTGGGCTTGATCAAAAAGGGAAGCACGCCGTCGCTGAGGATATTTATTCAGAAGGACGCCAGGCCGTCCGTTCAGCGCCCATTTCCTCAGTGAGTTTTTCCAAGACGCTGTGACCGGTGGTGCTGTGGTGGCAAATGTGTCCAACACGCAAGAGTTTCCTGGGGCTATTGCAACAAATCACAGAGAATCGCTGATTCTCTGGCAGCTCCGGAGGTCAGACGCCTAACACCCGTCTCACTTGGGGCTAAAACCGAGGCACTGGCAAGCTGGTTCCCTCAGGGCGTCCCGGAGCAGGGGCAGAACCTGTCCCTGGCCCTCCCGCTGCCGGGGACCCCCTGCCTCCTCGGCCCCTGTCCCCTTCCTCACGTCACATCAGGGTCTCATTTTCCATCGTCGCCTCTGCGGCTGCTACTGATCCTGATCTTCCTGCCTCCCTTCTGCAGGACGGTGTGATGCCGGCGGGCCCCCCCCCCGCTGATCCAGGAGAATCTCCCACCTCGAGGTTCCTAACTAGATCACACCTGCAACGCAGCTTTTGCCACGTGAGGTAACATGGTCACAGGTTCCGGGGAATAGCAGGTGGACACCCTAGGGGGCCATGGCCACGGTTCAGCCGCACGCCCACCCAGAGGACTACAGGCTTCGAGTCGGAAGGGCTGTGCGCTGATCAGCACCCGGCTCCGTTCCAGGGGCCGGTCTCGGTGTCCTCCTCACAGCCCGGTGGGAGTGGGCAGGCTCCGGGCGGTCAGGAGCGTTGTACCGACGCGTCCAGGGTGTTCTCTGTTCCACGCTCTCTTTTTTTTTTTTTACGTTTGTATTGATTTTTTGAGAGAGAGAAACATCGATTTGTTCTACCCATTTACACATCCGTTGGTTGCTTCTTGTACGCGCCCAGACTGGGAATTGAACCTGCAACTTTAGCATATTGGGAAGACGCTCCAACCAACTGAGCTACCTCCAGTGTTTTCACGTATAAAAGAGGGTTTAGAGACCCGTACTCCAGGGTGCCGGAGGCTGGGGCCAGGGAGGGAGCAGACGAACTACGTACACACCCCTGGGCATCTGCTTCCTGCCCTTCATGGAACCCCTCTCTCTGTCAGTGCTGGTGTTTAACACACACCCTCGTCTTCACCTGCAGGCACTGCCCTGTCTTGACCTCTGCTGCTGACACCCCTCCTCTCGGTCCCAACGAATGGCCCTTCCCACCCCTGCTGCACAGGCGCAACGCCTCC